AGATATACCTAATGTAAACGTACGAGTTATGGGTGCAGCACGGCCCGAACATGGCAAGCATGTATACATCATGTAACAAACCAGCATGTTGTGCCCATGTACCGCTGAGAACTTTAATAAAAAAAAAAAAAAAAGAAAAAGTGGCATATATACACCATGGAATACTATGCAGCCATAAGAAAGAATGAGTTCCTGTCCTTTGCAGGGACATGGATGAAGCTGGACATGCCTCAGCCTCCCGAATAGCTGAGATTACAGGCGCCTGCCACCATACCTGGCTAATTATCACAAGATAATCACAAGCCCAGCTAATTATCAGCAAACTATCACAAGATCAGAAAACCAAACACCACATGTTCTCACTCAAAGTGGAAGCTGAACAATGAGAATACATGGACACAAGGAGGGGAACATCACACACCAGGGCCTGTCACGGGTGGGGGGCTAGGGGAGGGATTACATTAGGAGAAATACCTAATGTAGGTGATGGATTGATGGGTGCAGCAAACCACCAGGGCACGTGTATACCTATGTAACAAACTGGTGGATTTACATGGAAATGTTTTATTTCTGTCAATCCCGCTACATTTTTTAGTATTCTTCTGTAGAGATTTCCCTTTCCCCTTTAATTACCTATTTTTAATCAACATTAATTAGAATCAGCATAGGATTCTTTTTTGAATCACTTCTCTCATTTTATAGTGCATACTTAACAGCACTCTGCCATACTCTTGATCACATTTTCTCTCTCCCTCTCATATTCTGTCATAAATAAAATAGGTGATTCATTGAGCTAGGTCATGTGAAATCAGGAAGCAACAAAACTAGTGGAGTATCGAGATGAAAAGCCATGTCATCTGTAGAGCTATGAGATGGCCCATGGGAAATATAAGACTTGGGTTGAGCCCTCTGGGATAAGAAGAATTAAGAAGGATAGGAGCAAAGAAAGGGCATTCCAATCATGGGGTGAGGAATGACCATTTTGAAATAGAAAAGAGAGTTGTGAGAGAGAAAGATGAAAAGGAGGCAGCATCTTCAATGTCAGAATGTGGAGTGTGGTGTTTTCCTGAAGAGAGGACACAAGTGTTAGTGCAATGAAGAAATGTAGAGAAAAAAAAGTCAGTGCTTATCGAACTAAGCAAGTAATTATATGGAAGATCAGTGGCAGGAGGATTCAAAACTGGTGGAAGGATAGAATCCAAAAGGAAACACAGGCCTTGAACTCATTGTTTGTGATGGAGATGAAAGGAAATGCAGGAAAATTCAAAGGACAAGGTGGTTAAATATGGAATGAAGGAAAGAGAGGACATTCAAAATGACATCCAAGTAATGACAGAGAGGGAAGTAAGAGGGGAAAGATGAGAGCAGAGATGCAGCTAGTCCTGATGTCAGAGACACTGTCCTATTCACATCTATATTTCCAGCTCCCTTGTAAAGTTGTGTAAAGCAATGTCCACCTGTTTTTTGGCTGGATCCATCTAGTCTAGAAAAGGTTAGGCCAGGGCTTTCAAATTTTAATGTGCAAAGGAATCACTTGGGAAACTTGTTAAAATTCAGATTCTGATTCTGTAGGTTTGGAACAGGGTGTGAGATTCTGCACCCTTGATAGTGTTGCTGCTGTTGTTCTGTGGCCCATACTTTGCATAGCAAGAGGTTAGGAGATTTCTATGCAGACAAGCCAAGCCCAAAGCCCATGGTTGTGAAAAAAGAAACCAAAACAATCAGTTCCTTTCTCATCCCTAGGGATCATCTTCGTGCCCAGACCACCCAGTTGAAGGTCAAGGACATTCTCTACTGACTACAAATGTCTAAAGCGAAGGGCATTGTGACCATAGATACCCTTGACCCAGAGGTGAACTCCATGGCTTCTGAGCTCCCCACTCTGAAAACTAGGCTCCTGGTGTCACAGCCATGAAGGTTGGCTGGACTTCTGATCATTGGTTAAGCGGGTTTCTGGTCTGATGAATATGGTCTCTGAGTACATGTAGAAAATGACCATTTACTCCGAAGTGGTGGGAAACAAGCACCCAGTGGTAGGAAGCTCACCAGGTCGGCTGTAAGAAACCTCACCTGTGTTATTGATTTGCTCTATGACCCTGGCTTACTTCCTTCCTCTCTCTTGATCTCCGTTGCTTTATCTGTAAAATTTCAAGTTTTTCAGCACGTCAGACTTCTATGTTCCTCTCATTAGAATATACTCACCCCTGGGACTGTGCAAAGGAGATTTGTAAAGTCAGGGGTTATTGTGTTGCACATATATATGTGTGGGTGTGTATGTATATATGTGTATGTATATGTGTATGTATGTGTATATATATGTGTATGTGTATATATATATGTGTGTGTATATATACATGTGCATGTGTATGTGTGTGTGTATATACACATATATACACACATATATACATATATACACATATATACATATATACACACGTATATATATGCACATATATATGTATGTATTTCATTCTCACCCTTTCTTTCTTTCTCTTCCCCACCCCTCATCACAAGGTCACAGAGTTTAATTTAAAAAAACAAGCTTAGCAGTCTGGTTAAAAGCACGGACTAGGGTGCAGACTGCATTTGAATCCTGGCTATGCCACTTGCTAGCTGTATATTACCAAGCAAATTACCTAACCTCTCTGAGCCTCAGTGTTCTTATCTACAAAATGGGCATGATTAGAGTAGTACTCGCCTCCTAGGGTTTCTCTGAGTATTAAATGAGTTCATATTCGTAAATCACTTAGAGCATTGCCTGAAACATAGCAAGTGCTATTTGTGTGTTCTATTAAATTATTTAAAGATTCATTATATTTTACCAGTTTCTCAAATGAAAAAATGCCAGTCCACATGTCCAAATCACCCATCAAGTCAGTTTGATGCCTAACACTGGAAGAGCCAGTTTTCCTCCAGTGTTGCAAACTCCCAGTTTCCTGTCCATGCATCATGTTGTTTCTTTTGCTTCCCTAGAAGATGAAAAACCAGCAGTCATAACCTTTTTCCTTTTGTCTTGAATCCCTTTGCAGATCAGCATTCCCAGAACACATCTGTATTAAGTCACAGACCTTGGACCCGGTGGTCATCTTCTTCATCAGTGGGACCACAGGCCTCCCCAGGATGGTGAAATACAGCCATGGGCTTACCTTACTATCCTCTTTCCCTTCATGGTAGGAAAGAGGGTACTGACATAGAGGCTGGATCCCAGATCTGGGTGAGGTGTGTGTGTGTGTGTGTGTCTTGGGAAAGGAGCTCTAAGTAGAAGTGACTCCATCCTCTTTCTCCCTTCTGCTGTCTTTGTTTCAGACCTCTCAGGGTCTGAGAGGTGAAGTCTGGGAATCCTAAATGTTTGCTAACAGAGGCCTCAGAGTGACAAAGGAGGCACATTTAAGTCCTATCTGAGCATCTTCATAGGAGATGTGGAGGAAATGTGGGTAGAGACATTCTGCAGGCCACACACATGACAAGCCATTGTGTTCCTGAAAGTGGTTCCATGGTTTGATGGAGAAAGACAGAATATTCTAGCAGAGTGACCTCAGATGACAGAGCCTCTTCTATCCCCTTTTATGGGCAAATCAGACTTAGAGTTTCCCAATTATTAACTGCTAGGGAAGAAAATATCTGGAACCAAGCTATGCCAAGCCATCACCCCTAACCTAGAAAAAACAATACATAGAGGGTGAAGCTCTAGCCTTGTGTTAATTATTTAATCACCTGTAAACTAAACCTCTCTCTCTGCACTTTCTCATCTCCAACTAGTAGTATTCGGAATGGACCAAATTCTTTATATTTTCTAATTTATTAACGTATTAACCAGAACATGGAGCAGAGAAGTTTTCTTGTATTATCCAGAGGAGGGGTACTGGGTATTTGCACTAATGATAACAATTGAGTAGCAAAACTCATGGAGGAATGGAGGTGAGATAAGGGAGAGCTTTCTGTACAGGTAGAATAATATGTGCAAATGCACAAAGATATAAAAAGTAATATTCATAGAACTATAGAGATGGGAATATCTGGTGCTCAGAGTGTAAGGTGAAGGACCAATGGGAAGAGTTGGAAAAGTGAGCAAGGCTTAGACCATGCAGGGTCTTGCAGGCCTTGTTGTAGAGTTCGGACTTTATTAGGAAAACAATGAGCAGATACTAAAAGTTTTTTTTGTTTTTTTTTTTTTTTTTAAACAAAGTCTTACTCTGTTGTCCACGGTGGAGTGCAGTGTCACGATCTCAGCTCACTGCAACCTCTGCCTCCTGGGTTCAAGTGATTCTCGTGCCTCAGCCTCCCAAATAGCTGGAACCACACCCGGCTAATTTTTGTATTTTTAGTAGAGACAGGGCTTCACTATGTTGGCCAGGCTGGTCTCAAACTCCTAACCTCAGGTGATCCACCCACCTCAGCCTCCAAAAGTGCCGGGATTACAGGTATGAGCCACTGCGCCTGGCCAATACTGCAAGTTTTTCAGTGAGGGGGAGATCTGATCAGATTTGTATTTTGAGAAGGTCACCATGGCTGCAGGATGGAGATTGGGTTGGAGAAAGTTAGAATTGAGTTAGGGAAGGCCAGCTAAAGGCTCTGAGACTAATCCAGGCACAAGCTGGTAGTGGCATGGACCACGTGCCAGAGATATGAAGGAAATTAACACAGTTGAGATTTTAGGAAATAGAGTGCACCAGATCTGCTGGATAGACATGGGAGATGGGAAGAGGTCAAGGCTGATGCCAAAGTTTGGGGCTTGGACAACTTCATGGATGGTGATGACATGTATGGATACAGAGAACACTAGAGGAGAATCAGTTCAAGAGAGATAGTATGATTGAACCAGTTTCAGTTACACGTAATCGAAAAATATTTGGCAGTACACCTTTGAGGCCTGGGGTAAGGGTAGTGTGGAGCCCCACACAAATCACATGAACTGAGAGTGAGAAGTGTGGGTCCATAGCTAAAAACCAGAGTGCCTAGTCCATCATCACATCAGCCATGATCACACAGTTGAAGCCACTGCATTTTGGAGTTAGCAGGAAATTACTGAGCCTGAAGACATCTGATAGCATCTGGTGCCCGTCAACTCAGGCTGGATTCTGGCTGCCTTGGGGACCCTGTTTGAACCATGGACAAGAGGGTGTACAGTCTTCATCCATTATGTGCGGCAGCTTGACACCAAGGTCATCGTACAGGTAAGAAGACTTACCCTTCCTCTATCAACAATATTCCAGGAAAAAAATCCATGTTTCCGGACCAAAAGCTGGACCCTGCTAAAAAACATCTTATTAAGCAAAGAAGCCCATGAGCCTAAGAATCCTGGGTCTAGGCTTCTCAAAGTGTGGGGCAGTGAATGGGAGTCATTGTATCTGAGTCACATTAAAACATGACCTTGCAGAAAACGCATATTACCACGCCATCCTTCAGACCTGTGGATCAGCCTTTGTAGACTTGGGACCCAGGAGGTGCATATTGAAAATTTAAAGTAAGCGCAACAAGCCCAACTTTCCAGGATCCTGGAGACTGACTGCAAGAGCCAAGCAGCTGGGGTGTGTGTGTGTGTGTGTGTGTGTGTGTGTGCGTGTTCTTAATATGATGAAGTGTTTAAAAACAGATCCCTTGGAGGCCAGGCATGGTGGCTTAGGCCTGTAATCCCAGCACTTTGGGAGGCTGAGGCGGGCGGATCATGAGATCAGGAAATCAAGACCATCCTGGTTAACGCGGCGAAACCCCGTCTGTATTAAAAACTATAAAAAATTAGCCGGGCGTGATGGCGGGCCCCAGTAGTCCCAGCTACTGGGGAGGCTGAGACAGGAGAATGGCGTGAACCCGGGAGGCAGAGCTTGCAGTGAGCCGAGATCGCGCCACTGCAACTCCAGCCTGGGCGACAGAGGGAGACTCCATCTCAAAAAAAAAAAAAACAGAAACAGACCCTTTGGAATATGACAGATCTAGCTTCTTATTCCACCTTTGAAATTAACTAGCAGGTTACATGCCACTCTGAGTCTCAGTTTCCCTATCTGTAATATAGGACTTCTTTACATTTTTTACACCTATTTTTAAAATAGGTGGCTCACGCCTGTAATCCTAGCACTTTGGGAGGCCGAGGCGGGTGGATCATGAGGTAAAGAGATCGAGACCATCCTGGCCACATGGTGAAACCCCATCTCTACTAAAAAAAATTAAAAATTTAAAAAAAAAATTTTTTTAATTACCTGGGAGTGGTGGTGCATGCCTGTAGTCCCAGCTACTCAGCAGGCTGAAGCAGGAGAATCGCTTGGACCAGGGAAGCAGAGGTTGTGATGAGCCAAGATCGCGCCACTGCACTCCAGCCTGGTGAGAGAGTGAGATTCCATCTCAAAAAAATTTAATAATAATAATTACTACCTTATAAAATTTTTGGTAATATTAATGAGATGATAGAGGCAAAGTATGTAAAGTGCTTACCCCTGAGGCCAGCACATAGAAAACACTCTATCAGTGTCAGCTGCTGTCGCTATTTTATGATTAGTAAATCACGACAATTCAAGTCACCTGCACAAACTCCTCTGTACATCCCTTCACCCAAAACTTTTCTTTATGTCTCCACTCACACTCTTGCTTTCCCTCTCAGAGGCAGACCTACCCCTCCACCTCTCAAAATCCACCCAGATCCTGTTCTATTTCCTGGCCGTGAATAAAGAGACTTTCTTCAATAATCTTTAATCTATTATGCATTTTATCCTGTATTTTAAATGTCTCACTTTTCGCTAAGTTCTACTTCTTCAGTCCATAAACATATTCAGTGTCACTATCCTAAAATGCCTTCCTTTGAACCTGCTACACACTGGGTCAACCCATCTTTTCCACCTTAACACCAAACTTCACCAACGAACATTCTCCATTTGCTACAGCACCTCTGCTTCACCTAGCTTGCTCCTGAATACTGCAGTCCTCCAATGGTCTGCCCTTGCTTTTCCTCTGCAATTTCCTTTACTTCCATTTTTCTCGGCAAGCACATCAATGCAAGTGACTGTCAAAACTGTACCTAGAATCTAGTCTTCTCTGTCCAAGCTGATTCTCCCAGGCTAGCAATACATTTCCAACCTGCTAATTGGTCAAGTCCATCTGATCATTCCTCCACCCCCTCAAACTGCCCTTCCCTTATCTCATTTCCTGCCTCTATATCAGTATCTCCTCTTGCCTCACCATCATTATTTTCTGTACCACATTCTGCACTTGAGACTTAAAGCACCACAAGCAACACTGACTCCACTCTTCCCACCCTCATGCCTAATTCTCCCTCTACTATAGGGAGTGTCCCAAAAGGTCTTTATGTATTTTAAGCTTGAGTAGTTTAAAATGATATACATTTACAAAAAAATCAGCATTTGTACATTTATTCTTATTTCCCACTTACTATTTTTATAAATTATTCATAACAATTTTTAAATATATATTTATTCTATTAGTTCCTCTAATTGAAGACTAAAAACAAAAAGTCTTTTTTTTTTTTTTTTTTGATTCAGAGGGTACATGTGCAGGTTTGTTACATGAATATATTACATGATTCTGATGTTGGGGTAAGAATATACTCATCAACCAGGTAGTGAGTATAGTACTCAATAAGCAGTTTTTCAGCCCATACCCCCTCCAACTCCCTTCTCATAGTCCCCATCTTTATGTCCATGTGTTCTCAATGTTTAGCTCCCACTTATAAGTAAGAGCTAGTGATGTTTGGTTTTCCACTCCTGCATTAATGTGCTTAGGATAACAGCCTCCAGTTTCATCTATGTTGCTATGAGGGATACAATTTCATTCTTTTTTTTTAATTGTTATACTTTAACCTATGGTACATGTGTACAACGTGCAGGTTTGTTACATATGTATACATGTGCCATGTTGGTGTGCTGCACCCGTTAACTCACTTGTCGTTTACATTAGGTATATCCCCTAATGCTATTCCTCCCCCTCCCCCCACCCCATGACAGGCCCTGGTGTGTGATGCTCCCCTTCCTGTGTCCAAGTGTTCTCATTGTTCAATTCCC